ACAACTTCATAGTAATTAATGTAAATATGTGCAACTTAGAAAAATTAATGTTCAATAGTCGTTCTAATAAAACATGCCTGTTTGTAGAAAACATGCATGTGTTCATGCAGATGGGGTGGTGTGGTGGTGGTGGTGGTGGTGGGGGGGGGGGGTTGGGGGGGCGCTCAAAGGGGGCCTCGCCCGGGGAGTAATTCGATGTAGAACCGCCACTGCGCTGAGGCATTCATATACAAGAGGTCTCCATAATCCAGAATAGACAGAAGTGCTGCCGTAACTGGTCGCTTTTGTGCCTCAAAAATAAAATATTTGTTGGACTTCATTAAAATATTTCTGTAAGAATTCAACAGCTTCAGTGGGGGATGTTCCAAAGCAGTAAATGAGTGTGTCATCAGCATAAAAGTGCAAATTAGCATCCGACACATGTCATTATACATAATGAACAAGAGGGGCCCCAAGAATGAACCCTGTGGTACTCCCTTGTGGACACTCAAACGTTCAGAGGACAACCCATCATATTTAACGCATCGAGTTCTGTCCTTCAAGCAGTCTGTGAACCACGATGTTCAGACAGTCCCAAACAAAGAAGCTTCCGTTTTAAAACGGCATGGTCTACAGGGTCTTTGACAGATCACTAAGAAGTGAAGCGCAGCACTGCTTTTCATCCAGAGCAACAATGTCGCTGATCACCTTTGTAGCTGAAGGATGGTAGCCTAGTGAACTAGACCAAATTCTTGCTTTGCAAAGTTTGGTCTAGGAGCGCTCAACTGGAACCTCTGCAGCCCCTAGCAGCATTCTGGCTGGCCAATCACAGCTCTGTAGAGGGGTTTCAAACACATAAAGAGCTGTGATTGGTCCATAATGGTGGGCCAATCATAGTGCTCTATCTGCTTAGTGAACAAATCACAGAGCTTTATCCGCTTTGTGGGCCAATCAGGGCACTCTATATGCCTGGTGGGTGGGATGATGCAACAGAGTGAAACAAGATGGCGACAGCTCGTTTGAAACGGCTTTTTCATCAGTTTTGGACTATTAGAACTTGGCTTCATCAGAATCAGGAGCAGATAGATGTATTTAAGTGCTTTTTTTTTTTTTTTTTAGAAAAAATGATGCGTTTTCTCCTTCAACTGCGGACCGCCTCATTTACCGATAGCTGTTGTGGTGAGTATGTCACATTCATTGTCCAGTAGCATGCGGAGATCATTTGAAAGACGACGGTAGAACCCGCCCCACAACCGAGAGCCGTCAATGGAGCGTTGCCAGACTAAATAATACATTTATTTAGTCTGGCTTGCCAGGCTAGAAGGATGGCGCTGTTTTCTGAAACCTGATTGCAGACTTGAGAGAAGGTCGTTTAAATATAAAAAGTCTTTAAATTCACTTACTAGGGTCTCTAGAAGTTTCACTAGGACATGCAGATTAGATACTGGTCTGTCATTATTTCATAGAGCTGGGTCTCCACCTTTTAGTAAGGAGACACAAAAGCAGACTTCCAGACTGGCTCTGCTGTGAAATCAGCAGCCATTTTCTAAAAGTCGGGTTGGATCGTGTTTGGACCAGATGGGTTTCTGGGTTCTACTAAGGCCCTGTCCACACGTAGCCGGGGATCTGCCAAAACGTAGATATTGTTCTACGTTTTGGCCTGTCATCCACACGAAAACGGAGTTTTTTCACACGAAAACGGATCTTTTTAAAAACTCCGGCCAAAGTGAAGATCTGCGTTTTCTCCGTTTTGGGTGTCTGCGTGTGGACGGACAAAACCGGAGTTTTAAGGTCCGCAGCGTCACTTTCCGCGACAAAAAAATGCTGACATCACGTGTGCGACCTGTGTTTACACTAGCCGACAGCATGGAAGCCCTCAGAGCTGCGCTCTGTCACTACCCGATCCATCAATTGTCCAAGCGCTTTTTGCTTGTTTGTGTTTGCAAGCGGAATTACTGCTCCTTGCGGAAGACCACAGACGAAGGACGAGGTTAAGAACGGGGGAAGTACTGCCGCCTACAGGTCTGGCATGTCCTCAACAACATATTTATCCGGGTACGTGTGGACAGAGTTTTGTTTTAAAACAAGGTGGTGTGGATGCAAGTTTTTGGAGGGGCGGATATTCGTTTTTAAAAAACCCGGCTACATGTGGACTAGGCCTAATTTTATGTCCCTGCTCTACAGGAAACGGGACAAAGTTAAGACACCAGGGGTCACAGGGGAAGCCGGGACTTTCTTGTCCTTTGATTCTGAGTTTCCTGAATGGGGCATGCTTATTAATCTTTTCCATGAAAGTTTCCATGAAGAATGCTCAGGCTAGCTCAACATCTGGTATAGTGATGGGAATTCCGGCTCTTTTTAGAGAGCCGGTTCTTTTGGCTCATCTCACCAAAAAGAGCCGGCTCTTTCGGCTCCCAAGTGGCTCCTCAAATTTTCTGTTGCGTAGAGTTTATTTATAACCAAAATAATGCTAAACTATATGTAAAATGATTTACTAATGTAAAAAATGCAATATATCAAATATTTATCATTTCTTTGGCTTTAATAACTGAACACTTTCAGAAATCTCCACTTGCCGACTGCTGGCGCTCATTTTCTCACCGTCTTCGTCGCACTCTCTCGCTCGTCTTTTTCCTCCTCATTCCCTCTCGTCTCCCTCCACCCACATGTGCTCTGCTGTGTGTCTGAGTCTGATCCTCCCTCTTCCCCGCCCCTACTGCTCTGTGTGTGGACAGTCTGGACACGCAGTTACACATGTTGACCAATCGCCTGTAGCTTTCACCAAAGCAAAAGGGGAGGGGGGAGGGGAGGGGACGGCTCCCAATGACGAGCCGGCTCCCGTCGTTCACTTCAAAGAGCCGGCTCTTAGAGCCGGCTCGTTCACGACCGACACATCACTAATCTGGTAGCAAATCTATTAGCCTCCAGTGAACCAAAAACAAATCTGTATGATGAGCTTGTTCACCGAGTTGTCTAAGATTTCTCTTGTAAATGACGCGTGATTTAGATTTATGCCTTTTAGTGCTCCTGACAGTGGCAACGACACGATGATGACTCAAGTCATTCCAGAAAACGTCTAACGATGAGAATTAATGAGGAACATTTGTTCAAATTAAGTCAATCCAGGTGGACTCATCAGGACTCTTACGATTGGGTCTGGTGGGTTGGTTGACCAATTGGCTAATATTCATGGAGTCACAGAAGCTTTTGATTTCACCTGAAAGTGCATTTAGCCAGAGCCAGCTGAGTCACCAGCTAATGGGAGTTCATTGTGATGTCATTTTGATCAGAGATGCTTCAAGGATGATGAAGCCTCCTTAAGCCGATGGAGGCCTGCAGCACCCAGCAATAGTTAGAAAAAGTATTTTGGCGATTTCCACGATTGAAGCCAAAACCTCCATTTGTTTACAGATTGATTATTGATGAATCAATATTGATCTGATATAAATAGCCACGCCCCACCTGTATTTGGCCGGTCTATGTGAAAAACTTTAAATCCATCTGAGCTGACATCCTCGTTAGTTATGGATTTAGTCAGCCAACGTCTGCAGCTGTTGCTTTAATCCAGATTGGGACCACACCCATCTTTGGTTTGGGTGTTTTCCTGCTTCAACACACCTGATTTTAATCAGCAGGTGATTAACAGGCTTCTGCAGAGCCCGATGAGCTGCTGATTCAACTGTGTTGAAGCACGGAAAGCTCTAGAACGTGCTGGATAGCAGCTCTCCGGGACCAGGGTCCGTTACTCCTGTCCTAAAGGGTTCCAGAGAACTTCATAAGTTCATCTGTCTTTGATCCAACTCATGACAGAATCTTCCAGATGTTGTCCGACCTGGCTTCCCCTGCATCAGGTCGACTGGACCCCTTTCTGCCTGCTGATGGTTCTGACCCAGTAGAGCTCTGATTGTCTGAGTCAGTTCCTGTTTGGACCTTCAGTTGCTCCTCTGATGTTCCAGGTCTTCCACAGACCTCCTCCCTTAGGAACTCCCGCACACTGTAGTCCTCTGGATCGCTGTCTGGACTTTTGTATGAACACGGGATCCAGAACCTTCAGGAGCTGTTGGGTTCTGCAGCTTATGAAGTCATAAGGATACAAACGAAGGCAATCAGGGAGAACTCTACGGAAACCTGATCTGAGGTTTATGGGAAAACCACATAGTTTAATACCCGATTCCATGTGGGAAAAGTGGAATGCAAATGTTACAACTTCACACAGGAAACATGAGGAACTCATTCTTTCCTCGCCGGTTGTTTTTTCTCATTCAGGTAGAATCAGAAAGCCGGTTGGTTCCCATAGAACCCAGTAAAGATGAAAAACTGGAGAACGTTGGAACGCCGAAGCAGGAAACGTTTTGTGAAATGAAAGAGTTTTGAACTATCTGACGTCAAAATCTGAACCTTTACTTTTCCCTCCTGACCCAAAACATGGAGCATTTTTAAGTATCATGTGTGTCATATTCACGGTGAATCCGTTCCGTTATCCGTCCCAGTTTACCCTTTAACCCGACACCTGCAAACAGCTGATTACGGATTAAAAACCTGGAGATTAACTGCTGATTAAATAAAATAACCAAGTTAAATGTTCAGATTTACACCTTAACAAATAAATAAGATGATTTCACAATTTCTCTCAGATACAAAGAACGGTTGCTACAACATCTAGCTTCCATCACAGCACCTCACATCCACCACACCACCTCTCATTATTCATATCTAGTCAAGAATTAATCATTAGTTTAGGTAAAATAAGTAAATTCATTTTATAAACTATATGCCGACTCTGTCTGAATTAATACGAAGTGTGTTTATGATCCCTGGAGAAGCAAAGAACCCTAGAGTCTTCTGATTAAACTCTCAACGATCAATCAGGTTGATATTTCATATTTATATGGAATCATCACATCTTATTGGTCATAATTAATATGCAGTAATCGCTACATGCCCCTTTAATGAGATTTTCCTAAACTGGACCGTAGCGCTACCCGTAAAGTTTGATTATTAGGAGGAACCTGAGCGTTTACCTGAGCGGCTTCAGTGCTGAGCTTCAAATGAGCAGAACTTTGGTGGAACCGGGTCGATGTCCTGCAGAACACTAAAGCGCCACATCAACCTTTGAGACATCGACCCGCTGCTCGTCAACAACTCAGCGTTCCGTACCAGGAAACATCTGGAGGGAACGCAGCTGCTGACCAGTAAACAAACGCACCTACGGTCTGATCGATAAGGGGACGGGTCAGAGGTCAGGCAGCAGAACCGCCCACCTACACCCGTGTGTGTGTGTGTGTGATTTTTCAGCTTGAATTTGAACCTGTGTAAAACTCAACTTTTTCTTTAACCCTACTGATCAGAGTTGCCTCAAAAAGTCACGATGAAAACTGTTCATCTAAATTATTATTTATTTAAAACTGTTTGTTCCAAATAAAATCCAGATATTTAGAAAAATCTGGATTTTGCTACATTGAATGAACTCTTGGAGCTCCGGTCCACACGGGGGCACTTTAATGGACAATGAAGTAATTATTTTTGTAGAAATAAAATATTTATTTAATTAGATTTAATTCTTTTTAAATACAAAACAGAAAAACTTAAGCTTATTAAGTTTCATTTCACTCAGAATAAAACATCATAAAACTTTTAATTATTTAAAATCTAATATAATAAATTATTCTAATAAAATTTTAGCTGCAACAGCAAATCTGGAATCATCCATTCATCTCCTGTTCTTTATGAAGAAGAAGAAGAAAATGTCATTTCTACAGCGCCTCTAAAGATAAAAATCACGAGGCGCTTCACAAAAACAAACACTGTAAAAATATAAAAAAAGCATTTAGAAAATGTTTAAAAATATATTAAAATGAGCAAAAATAGACAATTGTGATTAAAAATGTTAAGAAAGAGAGAGAGTGAACAGGAAAGAGGGAAATCAGTGGATCCTGAGGAAGGTGGAATAGGTGGGGAGAGCAGAACAAAGAGAGAGAGGTGAAGAAGGTCATCCAAAAGCCAGCTTGAACAAGTGAGTCTTCAGCTGCTTTTTAAAGGAGACCACTGAGTCCACTGATCTCAGGCTCAGGGGAAGAGAGGTCCAGAGTCTGGGGGCCACAGCAGCAGATGATCTGTCACCTTTGACCTTTAGCCTGGTGCTGCACAACCAGTAGGCTTTGATCACTGGACCTCGGGGACCTGCTGGGGGTGTAGGGACTAAGAAGATCAGGATTTTTCTTGGGGCGCGTAGCTTTCCAAGGGGCCACAGAGTCCAAGATGTCCAAACGCGTGGAGTTCATAATTCCAGAGGTCAAAACAGCATCAGAGAAGGCGCAGACGGATGCTTCATAAAGCACAGGACAATGACTGGAGATGCCAAGGTCAACAACATCAGTAGGCCAAGTCCAACACATGGCCAGTGGCCCACTGGGTGGTTAAACCAGTCAACGATGTTTAAAACTCCTTAACCAAGGGTCACAGCATAAATGAATACTGAAGTCTCCAAATATCCAATCCACGCAGGGTCACAGGGGGCTGGTGACTGTCTCCAGCCAGGGGCGGATTTAGCAATGTGGGGACCCAAGGCAAACACAGATATGGGGGCCCCTTACACTAAATTTTCAACAATCTTACCTTTAACTGGATTTGGGAAACTCTCCCTTCTTCTGACACGAGTTATTTTCACTTTTTCCTCTTTCTCTCCCTTTGAGTGTGTTCTTCCTGTCAGTGCTCCTGTGCTTTTGCCTTTTTTTTTCATTTTCCATTTTGGTCCATGTTTTCCTCCCTTTAAACATTTTCCATTGTCTCTTCTTTCTGCTTCCTTTGATGTTTACATAGAAAAACGACGTCACTTTCGGAAGTGAAGATGAAAGCTTTCATGAAGCGATCCGCTTCTTTCTCTTAATGGAGCCACTAGGATAACTCCATTTCATGCTTCGTGTTTGGACCATCACTTCGAGTTTGTTACGAACGCTCCCGCCTCTCTTCTTCTTATTTGTGGTCTTATGGCACTTGGCAAACAACAACTTGGTGCATTACTGCCACCAACTGGATTGCAGTGGAATGACTACCAATTACTTCCTGTTTGTGCATCGGCGTATTTAAGGAATGGTCCATAGTGGCATTAACAGAGGGGTGCCGGCGGTCAGGGCTAGGGGGCCCCCCAACACAAGGGGGCCCCAGGCGACCTCCAACCTATGCCCAATGGTAAAACTGCCACTGTCTCCAGCAGTCTCCGGGCAAACAGGCGGGTACACCCTGGACAGGTTACCAGTCCATCACAGGTCAACAGAGACACACAGGACACACGTACGTAGAGACAAGTTAGAGACCAGTCAACCTGGCAGTCATGTTTCTGGACTGTGGGAGGAAGCTGGAGAACCCACACATGCACAGGGAGAACATGCAAATTCTATACAGAGCTCAGGCCGGGATTCAAACCCGGGACCTTGTAGCTGATAGGCTAACACTGCACTACTGTGCTGGGGAAACAAATTAGCTTAACATTTTTCATGCCTCTTAACGTTCTAACATAGTACAGCTATAAATATTTAGTGGAGATTAAAACAAAGACAATATTAAAAGTGCTTCTCTCGCATTGGTCTAAAAACCTCCACCAACAACACTTCAGACCAAAACCAACCACTGGACCATCCGGTTGTCGATCTCGCCGAACCGCCGCACTTGCCTGGGTCCTCCACTTATCACACACTCCAGTACTCAGCAACAAAACCGCTGGTGAGGTTTTCCCTCAGTACCAGAGGAGCAACAGCCGGCTGCTACCACTTCATCTTCAGGACAAACTACCAAAGACCCAGAAAGAAAATCACCATCTGACGTCACGGACACCAAAAGATGTTAGGACCTAGAAAACGGCGTCTGGTGTTCTGCACCATCTCGTTTCTTCTGGCACCGCGGGTCTCCGGGTCCAGTGAAGATAACAGAGCGTGTGCTCTGAATCTAGCTTGTTTTTAGTGTGTGAACTTTGACCCCTGAGGAATATTAACAGAACTCAGATCCACTTTGTGCTTTAAAGCTGATTTTATTAGTAAAATTATAAATAAAAAATTTGTGCAAAAAATCATTCACATAAAATTCAGGCAAAAATAAAAACACACTAAAGTGAGAGAGAACCAGTGCAAGTCCCTCAGAACCCGGGTGGGACTACTGGAGACCCGGACCGGTCCGGGGTTCTGGTTCTTGTGGGTCAGAAGAGTTTCGGAAGCTGTCGGAGGCGGCTCAGGTCCAGGATGTTTCCCAGCGATCCCTCCAGCTCTCGGCCGCCCGCCCGGACCAAAGAGTTCCTCCGTCCGGACCGGTTCTCCTTATCGCCAGAGTCCGGTTTAGTGCCGCCAGTTAAAAGCTGCATTTTGGGCCGGAGGTCCCGGATCAGCTGACTCTGTGGGAGGAGCCTAACATTCAGAGCGTCGCTCAGCGGCTGACGAGCCTCCTGACCTCTGACCTCCTCCTCTTGCTCCTCCTCCTCCTCGATCAGACCGTACCTCCTCATGTACTTCCTGGTGGCCAGAGACATGTTGCTAGGAGACAGGAGGGAGTCTGTGGAGGAGGTGACGTGCTGAGGGGCGTGGCCTCCCAGAGACAGCTTGTTGAGCTGAGAGTCGGTCAGGTATCTCAGAGCGATGGCGTTGGCTTCCAGGCTCAGGTCCACGCTGCCCCCGGGGAGCAGAGCGCCGCTCGTCAGGTCCGACACGACCAGCCGGGACACCACTGCCGCTGGGTTGATGCTCGCCAGGGTGCTGAAAGGAAACAAACACGGGGTCAGAACCACCGCTAACCAACACAAACCAGAACCGAACATTACTAGTGATTAACGGGTTCCGAACCTGGCGTTCTCCACGGCTCTGGTCCGGTTTGACTCCATCAGGTCCTTCTGGTCCACGTCCACTCCGAGCTGCTGCAGCTGCCGGAGGGTGGCTCTGACCACCGGGTCTGCGTTTGCACTCTTCTTCTGCTGCAGCGGTTTGCTCTGGGAGGACTGGGAGGCAGACACACTGCTCCTTCTGGACTCGTCCTCAGCTTCCTGGTTGTGGTGCGCCTCCTGAAGACGACTGTTGAGGCGAATCTGAAGACAAAGCAGAGTTTGTTACCGGGGAACAAAAACCGGACCAGGGGCCGCATTTATCAAGCTCGCTAACGCACAAAAGCGGGTCTGAAACCTGCGTCTGCAACTTCCACGCAAACTTTGGGATTTATGAAAGAAAACGTGGCGACCCCAAGCCGGATTTTTAAATTGAAGATGAGGGACAATGCGGAATGTTGGAAGTGCTGTAACACAGAAGGTACTTTTACTCGCCTATTCTGGGAATGTCCCATGACTCAGAACTACTGGTTAAAAATCCACAATCGTATTGTAAACATTACCGGAAGTAAAGTGGAATTCTGTCCGAGATTATGTTTTGAATGATCCAAGCATGACGGCAAAAGATGTAGCGGCGGACTTCATTCAGACCAGTGTGATGATTGGAAAGCAAATCATGAGTGATTGGAGGAACCCAGGTGAACCGTGTATCCGGGAATGGAGTATGGAACTGGCAAAAGTGACACCATACGAAAGATTTTTTTTCAGTATAAACGACAAATATATGTTGAAATGGGGAAAATATATTCAATATATCGCATCCAGATGAGAAAGAGGCTCGCCATTATGTAAAGGGTTAATTTACATCTATTTAATGAAGCATAAGACATGAGATTACATAATGAATATGGAATCAATCTTGTGGATCTTTGGGTAATTTTAACCAGCAGATTGGAACTTTTTATTGCAGGGATTATGTAACACTTCGTATTCACTGAGAGACAACAGAAGAGAGAGTCACCTTTAAAACGTTTAAGAAGATTTATTTCTAAACAATTTTAAACAAGACTAACTCTAAACTCTAAGTGATGAATGGATCTTGGTGTGAATGAGACGTGAGATGGATGGTGTATGTGTGAGTGATGTTGTCATCAGAACTCTCGTATCCGGAGAAGCAAGTCTGAGTGATGAAGTGATGTTTTGCTCTTAAGCTATGATCGGAGTTTCATAAACACATGAGACGCCGTCTTGTCGCTCCACACATACCCTTCAGGATGAGTCCTCCGTACAGATCCAGAATGCCAGGTCCTCGGACCCCCCTTTCGGTACCGGAGCCGATGAAACAGCGTCAGCAGTACGACAGACTAGTCTTTGGATTGTCTCCAGGTAAAAAGCGACAGTTGGTGGACAGCGTCAGATGGACCCAGAGGGTCAGTGAGTGCAGCTTTTATTCTGAAAGGAACCGTTGCTTGGTTGGTAAAATGCAACAGATTTTATCCAGCTTGTTGGTTCTTTGCTTAAAAAGGAGGTCCGGGTGGCCGGTCCGATACTTCTCTTAGAATGTGGTGAACTGATCTAAGATGGCGTGGGACTGGTTTTATTCATCTGGACGTACCGCTTCGTTTTCAGTCTCCAGAGAGACGGTAAATCCTCTTAGGTGTGTTCTTGCTGTGTCGTATCTCGAACTCCGTGCTGTAGTTCTTTTTTAAAACACAGAGAAGTTTTGTTGACCTGTTTTCCCGCTACGTTTCGTTTGCGGCCGCATGGAATTACGATAAATCCTCGTTGGACAAACGAAGACGGCATTCCTCGTTACAGCGCTGGTTTGGGAAACCAACAGCATTTTTTCTCTTCCTCAGACTAAAATCACTGGAGCACTGTGGCGTGGCTCGCCAAAATAAGAGCACGAAGACGCCCCTGAATAGTGCTGGGTACCAGAACTCGGTACCGTACTTATTCTGAGAACATTCGTGGTTACGAGAGCTGAGCTGTGTGTCCTTCAGACAGGAAAACAAACGACAGCATGTGTGCATGACCAACAGGTTGTGTGTGGAGCCGAGGACAGACGAGGTGGCTTCTGGGTGTTTTTGTTACCATGAGGTTCTGGTAGAAGCTCTGCTGCTCCTCTGGAGGTCCGTACATGCTGACACTCTCTCCCAGAACCGGGCTCTGCGGCCTGCTGATGCTGAAACGCAAAACCAAGCAGGCGTTTCTGATAAACCAAGTCTCCTCAATAACAAAACCAGGTGTGTTCGTCTCACCTGTGGTGATCCGATGCCGAGCAGGACACCTCCGTACTTCGGACCTCCTCCTCCTCAGGTCCTCCTGCAGGACCCCTCACAGACAGGTCATGTGAGGAGGATGACAGGCTGGAGGAGGATGAAGGAGGAAGTTTAGATGAAGGTCCAGGACCAGGAAGCTCATCCCGATGCTCAGGATTCCCTCCCCAGAACAAACTGGCACCTGGAAACAGCAGCGTGATGAAAACACGTGTTGAGGTCTGGCTCCGCCTGAGCAGCAGGGAAGAGATGTCTCACCCGTTTCCACGGCGATGCTGGCGGTGCTCGTGGATGTCTGCGTGTCCGCCGGGACTTTCCCCTGAGCCTCCAGCAGCATCTGGATCTACAGGAAACAGCAAACATTGAAGCCAGACTCGTCTTCCTGCAGCGACGGCTGACCTCTAATCCGTGCTCCGGCTTCACGTTGGTCCGACGGAAACGTTTTATTTACAAATCTTTCTCATCCTGCTGCTGCGTTTCCACCTACAGGTAAGTAAACGTCTTACTCCGCTCAGACTTCCTGTTTGAAAAATGCGCCGGAGAGGCGTCGCCTGGCCAACGAGGGCAAAACGTACGCCTCCAGCCGCGGTCCGATCCGCTCCGTTAAAGGCATTCGACTCTTCCCGAGACCATAAAGCGGTTCCGCCTACAACCACTAACACGAGGCTTCGCGTAGCCAAAAGGCTTCCCGGCAGCAGCAGAGTTTTCCTCGGAACGGCATCGTACAGCTGATCTACTTTTCCAACTAGAACCCTGAATGATCCCGACTTCCCGCAGATCTCCGATCCGGACTGAAACTCATTTATTTTATTTTACACCGATTCAGTTTTCCAGGGAAATCAGCCCACAGCTTCCCGCCGGGGTCGGGCTTACAGCTCCTCTCAGGAGGTCTGCAGGCTGGAACGGAGGTGTAGGTCCTCTGACCCAAACGGAAGCGGTTACCTGAGCCTGCAGGAGGCGCAGCTGGCGGTCCTGATGGAGGAGGAGCTGGTAGGTGTCTGATGGTGCGACGCCTCCCATTTTATCACAGCAGCGATTCACCGGGAGAGGATGGAGGAGCCAGGGGGAGGTCACAGAGTCCGCCGCTGCTAGACGGGAGGGGTGAGAGGAGGAGGAGTCACAGCACCAAGACAAAGGAAGAGGAGGAGCATGGCTGCAGGGACAGGAAGGAGCAGGTGGGTGGATGAGGGTGAAGGGAGGAGGAGGAGTGTGGTGGTGTGGGGGGAGAGCGGTGGAAGGTGAACTTGGGAGATCTGATGGAGGAGAATGACTAAACGATGAAGGAACAAGGCAGGTGGAGGCAGGAGGGAGAGGAGGAGTAGAGGGAGCGTTACTGGAAGGAGGAGGGGTGTACGAATGTGAAGGGAGAAGAGGAGCAAGGAGGGGGCTTGAAGGACGCGTAGTATGATGATAGGAGCGGGGAGGAGGAGCAGAATAATGACATGATGAAGGAGGTGTCTGCTTATGTGAGGGGGGAGGAGCAGAGGGATGGCTCAATGGAGGAGCCGTCTGCTGATGACAGGAGACTGGAGAAGCAGGAGGTGTGGAGGGATGGCTGGTGGAAGGAGGAAGAGCGATCGGATGAAGAGGAGCCGGGAGAGGGAAAGAGGGAGTGCTGTGCTGATGGGAGGAAGGAGGAACAGAGTGATGACTGGAAAAAGGCGGAGCCTGCTGCTGGGAGGAGGCGGAGGAGACTGGAGGAGTAGAGAGATGGTTGGCGGATGGAGGAAGAGCGTTCTGATGAGGAGGAGCAGGGCTGGAAGGAGGCGGAGCCTGGTGATGGGAGGCAGGGGGAGCAGCAGGGGGGAGCGCGGGCGAGGGAAAAATGGGGGTGCAGTTGTAGGTGTGGGCGGGGCAGCAGGTGCACGGCTCCTGCAGGTTGGAGTTAGGGGTGCTGTGGAGGTGAGGAGGAGCCGGTTTCGGAGCTGATGAGGAGCGGAATGACTTCCTGTTGGCTGGAGAGAGTCTGGGGGCGGAGCCAGATGGCTGAGCCTGGTCGTGATTGGAGGAGAAGCTGTCAACCAGCAGAGAAAGTTCAGGAACAGACGGCTGAACTCTGCGAGCCTGAAACAAAAACACCAGGGTTACCTGTGGGGGCGGAGCCTACGCTTCAGGTGTTTTCAGCCAAACTCAACTAGAAACCTGTTTAGAGACGAGCAGACGAGAGGAACCAGAACCTGGCCAGACTAACGGGTCGAGCCTCACCTGTGGGGCTGGGGGGTGTGGCCTCGGAGATGGGCGGGGAGAGAAGTCCTCATCCTCAACTCCAGAGTCGTGGTCAGAGAGCCGCACCGCGGGGGGAGGCGAGCTGGGACCAGAACCAAACAGAAACATTATCATCACACCCAGAACCTGCAGCTGGTTCTGGTTCTGTGAGCTCAGACCTGCTGAAGGACTTCTGTGATGCTCGGAAGACTTCCGCCTGTCTGCTCAGATCCTCCAGACCAAGCTCGCACTGCAGAACCCGACCCGGAACCGGTGCTGCCTGCTGATGATACGGGTCCACATTCAGGAGGAGAACCTCAACCCGCTCCGAAAACAGAACCCAGCGGTTACCTGGTAGAGTGAGGCCGACTGGGAGGCGGTGAGCAGCTGGAAGTCCAGCTGCGGTTCTGGTCCGGCTCCTCGACACTGGAAGAACTGTGGAGTCCTGTGGGTGGACCCAAACACGACGAGGAGGAAACATCCGCTCTCCGACAGAACCCTGAAACACGGACAGAACCATGAACCCAGCAGGATTCTTACAGCGCCGCACCTGCACGAACATCTGAAGCTCACCTGTCCTGGAGGGCAGAGCTAAACATGAACCGGACGCACCGGGCCCACACCTGAGGGTTGTAGACGTGCGTGACTCCGCTCAGCCAGCTGCCGCGGGAAAAACATCCAATCAAACGTTTCATTCTGATCCTTTAGGCCACAGGAAGGAACGTTTAAGGAATAAACGCGTTCATTCCTCCGTAGCAGTTAGGAAGATTCCCGTCCCACCTGCAGAGCGCTTCCTGAGCAGCCTCAGTTCAGAGAAACAGCTTACATCCAACAGGACCAACGAACTAACGGTCAGGCAGCGTTCCACGTTCCCGTTTTGTCCCCGATCAGAACTTTTGAACCTCCAGAAAGGCGACGTGACAACCCGGATAATTTTGAGTTTGCTGTGTGTGTGTGTGTGTGTGTGTGTGTGTGTGTGAGGGGGTGTGTGTGTCGTGCTTTATACATTCAGAGCACTTCCCAGGGAGTTAAGAATTCCGGGAGTGAGACAAACAGGACGTTCGAAGACATTTGTTTATTTGTCACCGCCCGTCTGAGCCGAGTCATAAACCGGCGTGAAGCTAAAGGCTCCGGGTGTTTTAAGGCGGCAGTCCTCCATCTGCCTTTCACACGGCTGTCAGCTTCACATCACATGGAATTCTGGGACGATCCATTGCTGCTTACGCAGCGTTGGTACGGTCGGGGAGGATAGCGTCAGTTCGATCTCAAACGGGCGGCGTCGTGTTCACATGCAGCTCTGAAGGACTTCTCAGGAATGTGAAAATCCCCGAGCACGTGGGCGGCCTCTAAGATGCGCGGGAACGCCAGCGGTGTCTTCCTTAACAAGATAAACAGAGACGGGCGAGTTGTGTTGCTTTTGGAGACTCTGAACCACGTTATTTCACTAATTTGCGGTGTGTCCTCGTAAAACTCTGTCGTCTCACTGAGCAGCTGTCTGCCTTTCCCTGGGATGGGAGCGCCGACGCGCTGAGGGCACGGTCACACACACACACACACACACACACACACAGCTCTTTTCCCGTTCCCACTGAGCGGCAGCGCCGTGCTACAGACACAGAAGTTACTCAGCAGCATGAACATGAATCACGCACACAGGAACTGCCCACTGGCTGACTCCACTTGCCTATCGGAGGCGGCTGGCATAATTTCAACCGGCCAATCAGTTCGTAGTGTCACCTCGGTCCCAGTCGGACCGCTGGGGAGGAGGTCTGGAAAAAAGAGTCGCCTCGGAACCAGAAATGCTAATCTGACCCACGTGTCAAACCAAGTTCCCGTCCCGTACCGACGCCGACATGTAAGCGGTTAATGAGGAATTCCGGGGTTTGTTACAGGCGCTGGCGGAGGTTCTCATTCATCCAGGTCACAGTATTCCAAAAGGGTTCAAAGGAAGGCAACTGGACTTCTTTGGTTTTTTGAAGACGCATCGCTTCCCATCCGAGGAGCGATGCGTCTTCGGAAACCACAGAAATCCGGTTGCCTTCATTTGAACCCTTTTGGAACTTTTACAAGCGTTAAAGTCTGCAGCAGCTGCGTGTGGCCGTGGGTCTTTTAGCTTAGCTTTAAACTGATCATTATCACCTTCTAAATTAATTAATTAATTAGGTTATTTATTTACTTATTTACTTTAAACAGTTTTTCTTACCATACATTTATGATCAACATGATTTTAATATCTATATAACTTTTTATATTACAACTCTCATTTGAGCTCTTTTGATTTTACATTTGAACCTTAATTTAACCGTTTCCAGTGTTTCCTCTGCGGGGGCCCTCTGCCTCGGGGGCCCTCTGCCTCGGGGGCCCTCTGCCTCGGGGGCCCTCTGCCTCGGGGGCGGTGGCCGGCTGTGGTGGCGGATGTGTGTGTGTGTGTGTGCCGGAGGATGAGTGTTGTGAAGGGGTTTTTATTCTCAGGCTGTTTCTCTGGGGATGGGAGGGACTGTGGGTACGCGGGGCCTTTTTAACTTGTTAAACACTTTGAGTTGCATGTATTGTGTGATTAAGTGCTATATAAGTAAACTTTGATTGATGGGTCGGATCAAGCAGGAAGGTCTGAATATTCCCACCTAAACAGTACTTATCTGATGGAAAAGTTAATAAAATCACAATCGGAGATGTTGGTTTACCGACTAGCCGTTAGCTCATCAGTCCCGACGGATGGAGAAACCATGCATCTGAACCAAGGCTGTTCGGGAAGCTCTCCACGGATAAGATGGGAATGACTTCTACCCTTCACACGTGAAGGATCCAACCTTGTTAACCCGATCTGGGGTTTGAATGTTTGTTCTTCACGAGCGAGGTCTCCTCCTGACCGACAGGAGCAGCGACTGCGTTAAGAGTTTAGCTCTGAACAAACAGAAAAGCTTACAGTCCAACCAGTGGCAGGCTGCAGGCTTTAGGGTCCGACTCCAGCAGGAGGACCAGCTTCCTGGTGTGATCCATGGTCAGAAACCTGTCAGAGCCACAGACACATCAGCACCACGTGACCGGCATCCAGCTGGTCGTCTCGCAGTGAAGGCGTCTTACCCTCTCTGGTGGCTGCCGGTCTGCGGCGAGTGGCCGATGCTCGTCAGACTCCTCAACAAGGCGGTGGGAATGATGGGAATGGCTCGGACCGGCTGAACGTCCACGCTGACGGCGGGACAGACGGCCACCCAGCTCAGGGTGAGCGCCGCTGCATCAGACGTCTGGGAGCAAGCCACCCGAGCTCTGATCCTCAGCAGCTGAGACAGATCCAGGCTCAGCCTGCTGCTCACCGCCTGCTGCAGCGCCTCAAGAGCCAAAGACACACAAACACCGCTCAAACCTCCAGAAGGTCTGGAAAACCGGTCCAGGACCACCAGAAAATGTTCAAGGAAGTCTGTCAAATGAACCGGATCATGAACCGGATCTGGGTTCTGGACTGGAACCAGCTACCTTAAAGCTCTGACGAAGCTCAGCCTCTGATTGGACGTCACACGCCGCCTCCGACTGAACAGAGAATAAACACGGAACCGGGACATCTCTGGGCAGGAGGGCGGACGGAACCCGACCCGCGGCGCCGCCCTGATCCCGACCTGGATCGAACCGGTCCAGATTCACAGTGATCCCCTCCTCATCTGGACCGGAGAACAAACAACTGGGTTAAGTAAAGAACGCACAGGATCCATGTGGATTTGGGGGGGGGGGGGGGGGGGGGTCTGACCTGGGTCCACAGACACTGATCCCAGGAAGAAGCACTGGAGGCGGGGCCTATTGCTGTGACGGGCGTGACGCAGAGCCAATCGAAGAGCCTTTTCCAGAAGCACCACACGTGGCTTCCTGCAGACAGACAGGATGTCAAAGCTGTCCCCTCTGAGCCACCGTAGTTCCAACAGGACACACACACACGTTTACCTGTGACAGCAGAGCTGGAGGCGGAGCTTGTCTCCGGCTGGGCTGCCATCCCACAGAGCAGATCTGGATTTAGGAAAACTCAGCTGGGTGAAGGAGTTCACGGAGTTCCTGCAAAACGGATAAACCATCATCAGCTGGAAACACGGAGCAGAAACCAGACGTCTCTGTTTTAATGAACCAGGTAAGAAACACCTGCTCCTTTCTGATTATAGCTCCTTTTGTTTTTCAGACCAACACTCCAGATCCGGAACGCAGCATCCAGGTGTTCCACTTCCTTTTCTTGACTCAGATTTCCAGGATTTCCAATGTTGCTACGGCAATTTTGTATCCTAGAAGTTCAGTCAGAGCGTAGCCAAAACAAAACGATTCAGCTCTGCATGTTGGTCTAGCCACTCTTGACCTCTGCAGCCCAGACCAGTATTGTGTCTGGCCAATCACAGCACTCAACTGGTTTGGTGGGCGGAATTTTACTGCAACTGGGAAAACTAAGATGGCGACGGCTCTTTTCAAGCGACTATGTCATCAACTTGGGACCATTCAGACGTGGCCTTTACCAAACCCGTTTACCTCTACAGCACATTTAAACCCTTCTGAGTCGAGCAGATCGAGGCACTCGAGTTCTTTATTCAGAAAATAAATTTATTTACGTCTTCTTCCACAGGACTGCCACGCTGACCGACATCCGTAGCGGTGACCATGTCTCGTTGTTTGTTGTCCAATAGCACGCTGGAGACGGTTTGAAACACAACAGTATGATCCCACCCTTTTTACAAGAAACAGCAAACTGGTGTAATATTACCGCAACGGTGTGTCTTATAAACGCGCCATGCCGGCATGGCACAGCGCAAATTATGCAGCATTCATTCTGCCTTGCTTGGTAATACTGCAGACCCGACCCAAGGACAACTATCCTGATACGGAGGGTTTATGTAGTTGTCTGAAAGTATCACGTTTCTGGCGCTATAATTAGTACACGTAACACCCTCGAAATGACCGACAACTGTACTCCAGTAAGAGCCGCACTACTTCAACACCTTTTACCCAAGTAGAAGTAGCTGTCCAAGAAGTTACCCAAGTAAGGGTAAAAAGGTATTTGATTAGAAGGCTACTCGAGTACCGAGTACCATCTGGTCTCATACTTTTAAAATGATAACGTCAAACGGACAAAAAAAGATGTGATGGGCAAATGTTATTTTAAAGACTAAAAGGGAAAACGTAAACAAATAAACATCATTACAAAATAACAAATGTTACGCAAAATTTAGACAAACTGGAGACAATTTTGTCCTGATACACGGTTTCTTTTGTTGTCTGGAAATGTAACACGCAATAATACCGAAAACCGCGACAAATTTGGTCACAGTAATGCGAGGTTACATTTTCAAACAACACACACACACACACACACACACACACACACACACACACACACACACACACACACACACACACACCATTGTGATTTCTAGTAAATATTCTATTAGGTGAGAGATAAACTTTATTGTATTTATCCTAGTGAATCTATAATTAAACGGGTAAACTAGTAGTAGCACATTCAGTGTCAAAGAAGAGAGTAAGAATGTTTAAGTGGTTAGCAGCAGTGTGCTAGACGATGGCCCCCTCCATGAGGCCACCACAGCTCAGCAGAACATCGTTGTAGCTTCTTCTGGGGAGAAAAACACTTAGAGAGAAAATAAAGTTAACAGCTGAAATAGCAGGAAATAATACAGTTAAAGAGCAGATTGTAGAAGAAAGCAGTAGAGTGTGAAAAGTGGTCAGTGTGTCCTCCAGCAGTCTAAGCCTATAGCAGCATAACTACAGAGATAACTCTGGATAATCTATCCTATTTAGATGGAGGCATGTTGGAGTCAGGATGACTGAAACCAGGATCAAAACTGCTGAAACTTTCATGTCTATCGAGAAGCAGGGGACACCCTGGACAGGTCTGCAGTCCATCACCTTTGAACATGACTAGGAGGCAGCAATATCTGGCTGGTGATCTAACTGATGTTCATTAAATGTTTGTGTTTTCGATTCTTACTCAGAAGATCAGACTGAGATCCTCATCTGTGCCCCAGACAAGCTGGTCCCCAAAGTCAGAGACTCTCTTGGTCAGCTTGCTTCCCACACCAAACCTTCCATCAGGAATCTTGGCGTGACCTTTGACCCAGCTCTCACCCTGGATTCTCATGTCAGTTCTCTTGTTGGCTCTTCCTTCTTCCATCTCAGGAACGTTGCTAAGCTGAGTCCCATTCTGTCCCGCTCTGAACTTGAGACAGTTCTCCACACCTTCATCTCCTCACGCTTAGACTACTGTAACTCTCTTTTCACGTGTCTGAGCAGAACCTCCCTGAACCGTCTACAGGTGGTTCAGAACGCCTGTGCTCGGCTTCTGACCAAGTCCTCCAAACACACCCACATCACCCCGCTTCTCCTCCAGCTTCACTGGCTGCCAGTCAACTTCAGGGTTCATTTCAAGATCCTGGTTCTGGTCTATAGGGCCTTACATGGACAAGCACCATCTTACATTGGTGATCTTCTCAGTCCCTACACCCCCAGCAGGTCCCTGAGGTCCAGTGATCAAAGCCTACTGGTTGTGCAGCACCAGGCTAAAGGTCAAAGGTCATCTGCTGCTGTGGCCCCCAGACTCTGGACCTCTCTCCCCCTGAGCCTGAGATCAGTGGACTCAGTGGTCTCCTTTAAGAATCCATCCGTCCATTACAGTCCTGTTAGGTTGTAATTTAATAGCTGATAGTTTTAAAGAGGTCACTTAACAAAACGTCACTGTGGATCTATAAACATTAGATTGATGCGAAAACAACAACCTTGATCCATTGCCACTCATCTAAATGTACCAAAAACGAGTGATAATCTACATTTTGAGTCAAAACTATTTAAATGTATAAGTAAACAAAACTAATTTAATTGGTGTTTGGGTTTGTGTGACAGCTTATTTTAATCATGACATATGCACCACAATGCACACTGACAGTCAGTTACCACAGCGAACATTAAACTCACCTTCCTCGCATGTTTCCCGGAGAAAACACTTCCTCTAAAACTTCCCTGGGCAGAGCCTGGAGGTTCACCGGGTAACTCATCCCTACCGAGGCCGGCGGAGCGGAGCTTTAAGCGGTAAATAAACGGCGTTACCGCAGTCGGCTAACGTTAGCCTTTGGTTCGGACCGCATCGGCTCAAGGTTTGACTCACAAACGGCTCAAACCTCGATTCTGTACAACAGCTACCAAAAGCTTACCGAATTCACGTCTTGAATGAGTACACATTCATTTAATATACAATAATTAACTAACTTCATTACAAAAAACGGCAAAAAGGTAAGCGCAGTTTAATAATGGCGCTGTTTTCATCCTTTACTGGCGGGGGAACTCAGCGGACCAATGGCAACATCTGTTGTTGACAAGTAGACCAATGGCGTGGCCTTTAGCTTAACTCGTTAGTATGTGTCAACTGCAAATGACACTGCCATCTGGTGGCAAGTTTGGAAACTACCTAAAATTATTAAACGAGTCATTTGCAACATAGCCACCGAATAAAAGAGGTGCGTTACATTTGGAAACAGGTGATATGCTGAAATTTAAGTTTAAGGTGTCTTCCTTAAACAGAAAGATAAATTATACTGTGTGCGTGCGCGTGTGTAATCTGAATTATTTGTGTGTGTAGTTGTGTCATCTTCCACACTGAAGCTCCTGAAAAGAACCACAGTGAGGAATTATTTATCACCATGTTACATGACACGATGCTAAACAAGTCAGCTGCCGTGAGCTGAAATAAAGTCGTGAAGTCAAAAGAAACAAACGGCAGAACAAATCAACTAGTTGACTACAATGGCGTCAGTCTTTTATGGGACTGGGAATATGGGATTGCTGTGCGTGCGTGTGTCTGTGTGTGTGCGTGTGTGCGACAACGCCCACTTGATCAAAGAGGAAAACTGGGCCTCTTTTTTGTAGAGTCACGCATCGTCTTATCTACACAATCTTTGAAGCCTGGAATCTCGACTCTTTGTTGTTACACTCCAACCAATCATCGCTCGAGTTTGAAGAAAAACGCCCCCAAATGTGCTGGTGGGTCCAATCAGAGCGCGTGTCTAGCAGGACTCCATTTTGTTGGTTTGTTTGGTGGAGGAAGGGGGTATCTCGCTGGCCGCTGGCTGGAACCTGTTGCTCCGTAGTTCCGTGTTGTGCAATGGACGGGTGAGTTATCCCATCGACTTCACGCTCCTTTTAAATGTAATTCCTGACTATTTTCCCTACCGATGAAAACAGGGACATGAACCTTTTCCCGGATGCCGTGTTTTTCCTGAGAGCAGCTGGCTCTCTGGTTGTGAGCTCAGCTGTCAGAGAAGTTGTGTTTGTGCTGGAGCAGGAAGCAGAGCTAGCAGTTAGCTGTGTGTTAGCCTCTCGGCGGGCCATTATGTTCGGGCACAACTCCACCAGCACTACCTGGCCGCTGAACGCCTCGTTTTTACCCGAACAAACGCGTCCTCCAAGGCCCAACGCGGCCCCGGGATGCTGGTTCTCACAGAAACAGACGGAGTCAACGGCAGACATAACTTTCCGTTCTCCTTCGCGGCGTTTCTCACGCCCACTGCGTTTCTCACAGCCTTCACTTCCAAAAGCTGATGTTTGTCTTGTGTGAAGGACCAGCTAACCCTTTTGTCTGGTTTCATCTGTTGGCCAGTCTGACGCGTGAAACTGAATTTTAGTTGATCGCATGTGTTAGGACAAAGAATGGACCTCAAAGTTCAAGCTGGAAACGGAAGTGGTTTAATGTACATAAACGTGCAACTCGGCTCATCTTTTGCTAATTATTCGACATATTTGGGAATATTGAAGTTGAAGGTTAATAATAAATGCCAGATTTGGATTCAACACTGTTCCTAATCAGGATCAGGCCCTGACCTGACCTTTAACCCCATGTCAGAGAAGGATATCGTTGTTAAACTTTATATCTGGCTCGTTTTTAGGACTGATTCCTGTGGGGGAGGAGCTGATCACACCTGGGTATTGAACTCTCCTGCTGATGGGTGGCTCAGGCTGACACTAACAGGTTTTATTTCCTCTGCTGGGACTAACCAGCCGTAGCCTGCTGGCAGGTTTGTTTAGGCTCCTCTGGAGGAAAAACAGGTTTTCTGTCTGGGTTGAATAAATCCCACCTCAGATGTGAATATTTGTGCCTCGTCTGGACTCTCGGGTCCCCTCGGGGGGGTCCTGCCCCTGCTGTCAGCTCCAGCCGGTCCTCTCCTGTTAGGCCCGACCTTCATCTGTGAAGCATTTTCCTAAAATCTTTCTGCCTCGTGATCTGTTTCTCAAGTGAAGCGTGCACCATCTGCAGCAGCTTGCCTAGTTTCTGGATGCTTTTGTTGTTCTGCTCCTTCTGACCTGTAAGGTGTCGACGTGCGGGGCAACGGCACTAATGCGTATAATCTGTGTGGTTTCTGGACATTCGGTGTTATTCTGTACGTTTTCGGAGTCGCTGACCAGCGTTTGGACAGGATGTGTGGAAACAGCACTTCCTGTCAGATTCAGAGACTTAGCCCAGGTCATAATCCGTTTCTGCTCCTTGTGTCCACAGATGGACGTGCAGTTTTGTTATTTTTGTCCTAATTTCAACAGAAACATGCTGCTTTTAAGAACCGAGTGGTGACGAAACTTCTCAGCAGCTGAGCCGACGTGTTACAACAGGATAGATTATGTGTTTCATGTTCTGGAGGCTTGTCTCCGTCGTGGAGCGCTCTGTAGACGGCTACAGACCCGAGGGCTCGGTGTTCAGCACCGAGTCCCATGTGTGTGTGTGTGTGTGTGTGGACACGGTTCAGTCATTTTTAACGTTGATGAAGAAACACGGGAAGCGAGGATCCAGCAACATCAGAGCTGATGCTGCACACGTTTTAATTTGTTTTATTCTGAATTAAAATTAGAAAAAGGCACAATGTTATCAGAAAAATCTGCTCCTCAACCTCGCGAGTTGACGGTCAAATAGCTTTTTGCACACTTTTGCGGCGTTCACTCCAACAACCCAGCAACAGTAAAGACTTTCTGGCAGTTTTTAGTCGTTTGATGATTTTCATTGATTTTTTTGTGGCCCGTATCTCGTCACCAGAGCTTAATTTAAAGAGCAAGTAACCCCCTACCAGAGTCTTACTCCACTCCCACTTCCTGTTTGAAAAACGCAACAAATGCTGTTGCCTGGCAGACCGAGAGGGCGGAGCCGCTAACACACACACACACAGGCTCACAACTGCTGTGTCTCAATTCAGGGTCTGCATCCTTCGAAGGACCCAGCCCACCCGGCCGACGGGGGCTGGGTCCTCCGTCGGCCGGGTAGACCGGATGTTAACGGCTGTGAATTTGGGCAGGCCTAGCCTTCATGAATTCCCGCCACTCCCTCGGCGAACGTTCCGTCACCTAGCAACCGTGGAACCGCTGAGCAGAAGGGAGAAGGAACTTTAAACGATGGAGCTCGAAGTTTTATTTAGCTTTTTAATCATTTCCTTGACTGTTGGAGAGCTAATTCAGAGAAATACTTTAGACAAGCTGAGCCTGAGCAAAGATGTGATAATAGTTTTTAATACTTTCTATGGGTCTTCATTTGACCAAAACCCATTTATCACCTTTTAAGACCCAGCAGATACCCTCTAGTAAACAATTCTCATTTGTAAACAAAAATAAAATTCAAGAGTTTAATGCAGAACTGATTTTATTTAGATATTTCTTTTATATGTACATGTTTAATCTTTATTAACCATTTTTTTCTAGCAAAATAAAAAGCTGTCAAAGTTCTCCCTTCTCTCCTGTGCCCTCTGCTGCTCTGCCTCCCTCTGCAGCCTCATGTCCTCCCTGATCAGCTCCAGAAGCTCATCGCTGTCACCTTCCCCTGGATGCCCATTTTCTCCAGAATAGTCTTAACAAACATGTAAGAAAAGAAACAGGAAGAGAAAAGAGGACAACGGGTTATTCCTTTCATGTTTTCGCAGAAAAAAATAAACTCAAACGACAGTTTTTAAAATATGAGAAGTTATTGTACCTCCATGCCACAGCCGCCGAATACTTTGCTCCGGTGATCATGTGGTCCATCTCCGCCCTAAGCTTAATAAATTCCCTGGTTTTCTCTTGTACCTAAAATACAAACTTCTATTAAAATCAGGGGAAACGTAGCGGGAGAAGTACGACACCGAGCGGCCGAACATACGAGCCGAGACCGCAATACAAGCACTTTTACTGTAACATTTCTAACTAAAATAACGTTCATGTATCACCAAAAGTCCTTAACCTAACAGTTTTCAAGTTTATACTGACATTTATATGCGCAATCCTCTCCGACAGCTCCCGCTTCACTGTCCGCCATTGTTCTGCCGTCCGGCCCGCAAGGCATCTTGGGAAATGCTACCTATTGAAGGATACACCCGACCCATCCTTCATTCAGGCGAAAAGAAGGCCGCATTCGTCGACCGCATTTGAAGGAGTCTTCGAATTGGGACAGGCCGAGTCGCGGCGTTGTGACGTAACCGGCCGACGAAGGATGCAGACCCTGAATTGAGACACACACAACGACATTGTGACATCATATGGTACCAGCTAATGTTCTAGGGTACCTCTTAGCCAATAGCGATGGCAGATTTAAATGCAGAGCAGAGTTTTTATCTGACAACGGCACAACACTGACAGTTTTAGGCAGAAAATTTAAATTTCTACTAAAATCCACTAAAGTGCAAAACTATTAACTACACGTGTCTGCAGCTCGATTAGACACGCATTTATATAGTTTATCAGGAAAAAACATTGATTTGGGGGTGACTTGCTCTTTAATAAAAACATATCAGTGTTCAGAAACCGGTTGCTGGTCTGTCGGATTATCAGCCGGCGCTGTGGTTTAAAAATCCTGCTAACAGGATCAGTGATGGTTGAATTAAAGCATTTTTTGGTATTTGTATGTCCTTCTGAAATAACAGAACACAGGAAGACCGTCCAGCTGCTTCTTAAAGCTCCGTCAGGCTGAAGTCGAGGCAAAGCATTAAAACGTTCTCACGGTTCTGATTTCAGACCTAAAGCGGGGTTTTTACGCAGGTTCCTTTCCTCTCATCTGCGGATTAAATAATCTAGAAAACCCTGGTCCTCAGGGACCGCTGTCCCACCTACAAGTTTTCCACGTCTCTGCTTCAGCACACCTGGTTTACGTCGGCTCCTCAGGAGGACACCAAGTGCTGCAGATGCCGGTTAATCACTCATTCATTTAAGTCAAGTGTGTGGCAGCAGGTGGTGTTTGAACGAGCAACATGGAAAACGTGCAGGACCGTGGTCCCCGCGGACCGGGCTTGAGAAAGGCTGATTTAGAAGATTCCTGAAGGTCTTTTTCATTATGATCTTCCCTGTGGAATAACCCCGTGCTCATTTGAGCGTGGAGCTACAGCCAGTTCCCAACAGGCTCCATTAATAAGAAACGGTTTGATTTTCCACCGCCGGAGAGCAGAGCAGCGTCATCAAGTCACATGATCAGACGTGTCTTCCTGAAATAGCTGAGTTCAGGGAGACTGTCTAAATGAACCAGTCGTGTTTGTGAACGCCGTTTTAGACAACTTTACGTGGTTCTGAACGCTCTACAGTCCCGACGTTTCCAGCTTCTGATCTATAAACAGCCCAGCAGGTGGCGCTATTTTAGCTTCACCAGCGTTTACAAACAACGTGACAACGTACGAGCTTTCAGTAGAAAGTGCAACGATGACAGGAGTGCTGACGTCAAAACGAAGCTCTGGTTTTTCTGCCGACTTGTTTGGATGCTAAAGTTCAGCGTGACAGCCCTCGAGTCGTCTGCACGCCGCGCTCACACCCGAGTTGTCCCGCCCCCGTGTCTGGAGAAAGTTCTGCTCTGATACTGACCCAATGAAGAGGCCGATCTTTAGCTTAACTGGAACCCAGGACGTCCCGCCGGTTTCCCTGTTTTCTGGAGCCCTGCTTCGTTTCCACGGCCTCTAATCGCTGGTTGGTCTCTGCTCTGCTCTACCCTTCCTCCGTTCTCTTTCACGGCATCTCTTTACCTTTTGGTTGTTCTGTCTCTTTTGTTTTTGCTGTTTGTGTTTCCCTCCCTGCTGCTTCTAACACGCTGTCTTTTCTTTACAGCAGTGTCCACCACGATATAACAGTTGGTACTAAGGTAGGCCCCCTGCTTCCTCCTCCTCTCTGACTGCTGTGTTGCTTGGTTTTCTGCTGAGTGCTGGGCAGGATGCAGACGCTGCTCTGGGAGCCACTCGCTCCCATTTTTTTTCTGTAGCATCTCTGAGGAAAACAATCATGTTGATGCTCCTGTGAGCCAGCCTTTAGATTCACATGAATTCGCCTGTAGGTTCGCATAATCATTAGAGGTGTAGAACACTGAAAACCCTTTTCTGACCATGATCCTCTTGAGTTTTTTATGCAGGCTGAATATGGAAATAGGTGTAGGAGACTATCTCCTGAGCAGGAGATATCGTTACTCACGACGGGGAAGGCTGAACCTCGCCTTGATGTCTTGGCCCCGCCCCGGTTGCCTAGGAGATACGTAATCGAGAGCCGCCAAGACATGTTCCAATGTTCATGTTCTACCAAGGCATATGTTCTCCGTTTGTTAGCCGTTTAGCTAGCTGCGCAAGGATACACGGGAGGTGTCTTGTAGCCTAGCCTTGGTCAAAAATTACCGACAATACACCGCAGCATTTTCAAAAGGATGGCGGATCAGAAGCCGGCAGCTACTTCGGGGACAATTTTCAAGTTTAAAAGTAAGTCAGCTAATTTAAAATGTTTTTTTAGATCCAAAGAAGTTATCTGTGGTTGGTTAGTAGCTTAGTAGTTGCAGTTTCGGTGGCTAGCGGGTAGTAACTCACATTTTTAATTTAATAAACATAAACACAATTTAAAAAGTAAACGTCTCGTTATATATTTATATTGAAACTAATACATATAAAATATAATGTTGTCTCCCGTGTCACGTGATGTTATGTGACCGCCGTGGAAGCCGCGGTCACGTGATGCAAGTCTGTTCCATTTAACCGTTTTCTTTGACCATGGAAGGACCGTGTCCTTGTAAGCAAGGCGTCTGGCCTCACAAGACATCGCCCCACAAGGCCAGGCGCCTTGACATTGAGAAACACCCCGTGTCATTGCTAGTAGAAGCTAACTATTAGCATTAGCAACTCCACCACACAGCAGAACTCCTCCAGGCTTGTTATTTGTGGAGATAAAACATCCATGTACAGAGCAAGCAGTCTGTGGTAGAGCCATGTTGCTGTTAGCCAATCAGAGGCGAGATGTCCAAACATCAGGAAGTAAGACTCCAGCATCAGGCCATCTGAAGCTCAACTCTGATGTGGCTCATTTCTAGTTCCTGAAACAGGAGCGCCAGAGCTTTTTTTCCCCCAGAGTACAACTAACAAGGCATTCATTCCCGCTGGAGACCCCTGCAGATGATTTAAACGAGTCTGTAGACTCCTGTGGGGGTTGGGTCTCTTCCTGTATTTATCTGTAATAAAACAGCAAGTTCCCCAGCTTTTACGTATTTAGTGGTTATTAATAACCTCAGTTTTGGTGCCGTGTACCGGAGCCGAACACCCGAGCGTGTCGGAGCGATGAACACAATTCAGGAAATTTCCCAGGAAAATTCTGCTCGATGTTAACAGGAAAACTGGTAAAACGTGAGTTTTCCGGCCAAAACCGGAGACGTCTGAGGTGTAAACGTGGATTCCCGTAAAGCGTTAATACTCCCGTGAGGTACGTGACTTTGTGAGGCTCCAGGCCGGCGGTCCGCAGAGGCTCGAATGCGTTATTCTGTCCACACGGAGCAAAGTGGGCCAGGAGACCATTAGTTCTCCCTGTAAGGTCATATTAGCTCCTGCTGGCTCAAGAGAAGGATTTCAGACATGAAAGGTTACATAGTGCACCTTTAAATGACAACACGCTTTAATTTTAGAGCCGATTGTTTGAATAATTGTGCAACGGTAGGACTCGCCTGAGGAGGTGGACCTCTGCACTTGCTGACGACTTGGAGAAAATTAATGACTGGAAATCCTGAAAACTTTCAGTTGCAACCTCGCTGAACTGGTTCAGACGGGTCACGTGCACTATCGTGCAAAGTATCTGGTCTCAAATGTGTCTCATTTTGGTCTCCAGCCCCTCCCAAAGGTGTCTCTTTTTATTTTGTAATTGGAGAAAATGATATGTACTTTACACCAGCGCAGGGCAAAATACTTAAAAATGATAAAGTTTAGTTTATTTATCACACTGAGAAAAATCACTTGTTGATTCACAAAGATCAACAAAACAAGTCGTTAAATGATCATCAAACAAAACAATAAAAAATTAGAGATGGACAATATATCGGCATCAGCATTGGTATCGGTTCGATAAATAAAACCGGGCCGATATAACAACCAGTATATATTTAATTTTTTTTCACCGTTTTTTTGCCTGTTTCAGAGGGTGAGGTTGTGTGTGTATGCGTGAGTGTGTGTGTGTGTGTGTGTGTGTGGGTACAAGTGATAACGCTGCAGGATTTCATGTTATCTTCTCAGCAGCAGCACTGCAGGTGCTCTCCATGTCCAGCATGTGTGTAAGCCAGGTCCTTAGTCAACTTAAAGTTGCGCACATTTTTCCGCTAAGTTTTCTTTCATAAATCCCAAAGTTTGCGTGGAAAGTTGCTTACGCAGTTTTCCGACCCCGTTTTGTGCGTAAGCTAGCTTGATAAATGAGGCGGCTGCTGGTTATTATCAGGCGGGAGGCAGGGAAACGACTGAAACACGATCATCATTCCTACAAACTGAATCCTTATTTCCCCCTGATTTCGTGTCCAGCTGGTGTCGTCCTGGAAAGATGCTGGTCTAGTTTAAACTGCTGAGAAAAGGTGTGGCGGGGATTTTAGTGGAGCTCTCGGTCTCTGGTGTGACGGACAAACCAGAGTTCCCAGCAGCTCGCATTCCTGAGCAGTAATCGTGTTTGGTATGTGTCCGGCTGCAGAACGGCTCATATCAGAGTCGGGATCACGTGGAGGCCGAGGAGCAGGAAGTGATGGGAGGAGGAGGAGGGAGGTGTCCTCTGATGATTACAGCTCTCCGGTTTCCTCCTCCGGCCTCGGGCGAGTAATCTGAAGCCACGCTTGGCGTTCGCTCTGCTTCCAGACAAACGACGGATAAAATCCACAGAAGAGGAGCAGCAGTAGGATTCTTTTGTGCTCTGTAGCGTTAGGGTGAGGGTTTGTCTGAGGTCCACAAACCTCCTCAGGTTTGATGCTGACCTGTCTAAATGGATGAAAACAGCTCAGTAGGTGTGCCTCACTGAGCTTTTAATATCTACAAACACAGGTGAGACAGGAAAACGTCAATCTGGTGCAGGAGTCCATCTGTGTCAGTAATCCAGCTCAGACTGAGAGACCATCTAAAGGCTCAGGAACCTCTGCAGGTGCTCTGCATCCATCAGCTGATTAGTGGGACACTTTGAATCTAGAACATTGAACTTTGGCACAATGTTCTAGTCCTCTGAGACCCGGTGGGGCTTTCATCAGCTGTAACCGTTAAAGGCTGAAACATCTGGATTAGCCTGGAATGAGTCTGTCAGAGATTAGTTTCACCTTTTAGGTTGAATTACGGTCATGAATGACCTTTTGCACCAGGTTCTCGTTTTTCCAGCTGTAGTTTGTGCTCCGTTCAGCTCCATTATCAGTTAACAGAGTTGTGACGGCTTTTCTCGGTAGATCGCAGAAACACCCTTAAAACAAGCAAGTTGGCAGAATGAATGATTCCCGACTGTTGGGTTGTCCCACCGCTGAGCCTTCCTGGAGGTGAGGGTTCGTTGGGATCTGTTTTGGTGGCCTGAGGATCAGGTCTCTGCTTTCTGCAGATGATGTGGTCCTGTTGGCTTCATCAGAACGTGATCTTCAGCTTTCGCTGGAGCGGTTCGCAGCCGAGTGTGAAGCAGCTGGGATGAGAATCAGCTCCTCTAAATCTGAGACCATGGTCTTGATTCAGAAAAGGGTAGAATGCCTTCTCCAGGTCAGGGATGAGGTCCTGCCCCAAGTGGAGGAGTTGAAGTATCTCGGGGTCTTGTTCACGAGTGAGGGAAAGCTGGAGCGTGAGATCGATAGGTGGATTGGTGCTGCATCTGCAGCGATGCGGGCGTTGTACCGGTCTGTCGTGGTGAAGAGAGAGCTGAGTCAGAAGGCGATCTCTCGATTTACCGGTCGATCTACGTTCCTACCCTCACCTATGGTCATGAGCTTTGGGTAGTGACCGAAAGAACGAGATTGCGGATACAAGCGGCCGAAATGAGTTTTCTCCGAAGAGTGGCTGGGCTCTCCCTTAGAGATAGGGTGAGAAGCTCGGCCATCCGGGAGGGGCTCGGAGTAGATCTGCTGCTCCTCCACACCGAGAGGAGCCGGTTGAGGTGGCTCGGGCATCTGGTCAGGATGCCTCCTGGACGCCTCCCTGGTGAGGTTTTCCGGGCACGTCCAACCAGGAGGAGACCTAAAGGTAGACCCAGGACACGCTGGAGGGACTATGTCTCTCACCTGGCCAGGGAACGCCTTGGGATTCCCCCGGAGGAGCTGGCCCAAGTGGCTGGGGAGAGGGAAGTCTGGGCCTCTCGCCTTAGGCTGCTGCCCCCGCGACCCGACTCTGGATAATGGGATGAAATTGGATGGATGGATGGGTAAATAGAGCAGCCGTTTTTATTATTATTTATCATTTAGGAGAGCATGAAGCTGCTGCTGGCTGAGTTTTCCCTGGCGGGAGGTTGGATCCGTTAGGATTTATTAAACTGAGCCGGTGGACATGTCAGCTGATGGACTCGACCAGAGTCCTCTCGGCTTCAGCTGCTGTTGGTGGATTTTGTTGCTTTTCCACCTGGAGAGAAAACGCTGGCCCGGTTCTGGTGGGCTACGGACCTTTCCTCTGTAACGGTTTATCGTGGTTCTCTCGGGTTCATTCTGCTCTTTGTTTCTGGGCCTTTCTGAGGACTAAAGAAGGTTCCTCGTTATTTAGGAACCGTGTTCGTTTGCATCCGGCAGATCCGGACAGCAGAAGGACTCCTGACTTGTTTCACAGTCTGAGTAAGTAACTGACGGCCCCGTGCCTCGCTTCCCGTTGGGCTGGCCTCCTCTGTCCACCTGGATCCCAGGTGCTTGGGTGGGTCTCCATGCAGGTGTGGTGTTGGATCTAGAGCAGTGCTGAGGGCCCTTTGTGTTCCTGTGCAGCCTGAGGCGGGGCGGGGCGGTCCGTCGGTCAGCAGCTGTCGGACAGCAGACGCAGATGGAGACTCAGGTGGTGGTGGGCCGGTAGCAGAGCGCCACGCTCGGGTTTCTGCTGGTTTTATTATTCATGTGAGGATCGGTAAGAAGATCTGGGCGGCTTTGTTCTCTTCAGGTTCCTCAGAGATGTGGGGTCAGAAACTAAACCGGTCTGGAAACCAGAGCGTCCAGAGTTTCTAGTACAGTGGTGCTGGACGGGCATGGTGGTTGTGATGGGCCCAGGTCTTCCTCCCAACACTTCCTGTGTGCTTTAAAGCTGCAGGACCCCGGAAACGACTGTAACTGTGCTTCTGTTTCTAATCCTGCGAGGAAAGTGACGATCTGAAAGAAATGAGGAATTTTCTGGAATACGGCTGAACTCAGCTGCACGCCGTTACCGAGTGAACGTGGTTGTTTTACGGAGCACGTGATGCTTTTGAAGCCACGTTTCTTGTGGAGATGTTGGCGTTTACTTTTTATAGCGCCTCTCAAGATGAAAATCATGAGGCGCTTCACAAAAACAAAACATGTAAAATATAAAAAATAATTTAGAAAACGATTAAAAATATATTTAAAATGAGCAAAAAATAGACAATTATGATGAAAAATGTAAAAAAGAGAGAGTGAATAGGAAAGAGGGAAATCAGGATCCTGAGAAAGGTGGAATAGATGTGGAGAGCAGAACAAGGAGAGGGTGATGGAGGTCCCACCAAAGCCTGAACAGGTGAGTTTAAAGGAGACCACTGAGTCCACTGATCTCAGGCTCAGGGGGAGAGAGATCCAGAGTCTGGGGGCCACAGCAGCAGATGATCTGTCACCTTTGACCTTTAGCCTGGTGCTGCACAACCAGTAGGCTTTGGTCACTGGACCTCAGGGACCTGCTGGGGGTGTAGGGACTAAGAAGATCACCAATGTAAGATGGTGCTTGTCCATGTAAGGCCCTATAGACCAGAACCAGGATCTTGACATGAACCCTGAAGTTGACTGGCAGCCAGTGAAGCTGGAGGAGAAGCGGGGTGATGTGGGTGTGTTTGGAGGACAGCTGGCTTTGCGTCCTATGGTGTGGAGGTGGGAGGAAGGCCCAATGAGATAGCAGGAGCAAGAGGAGGAGGCAATGTGGAGACGGTCATATCTGTTAGATAGTGGACGGCCTTGAAACTCTACAGAAGGTGTGTGTGTGTGTGTGTGTGTGTGTTTGTGTGTGTGTGTGTGTGTGTGTGTGTGTGTGTGTGTGTGTGTGTGTGTGTGTTTGTGTGTGTGTGTTTGTGTGTGTGTGTGTGTGTGTGTGTGTGTGTGTGTGTGTGTGTGTGTGTGTGTGTGTGTGTACTTGTCTCTATGGGTTTAAGTGGACATTTCATCTTGAACCTGTACTGTGGACATGTTTACATTGTGGGATATTTTGCTGCTCCACACAAACATATAATTACAAGTGTGTGTGTGTGTGTGTGTGTGTGGGGGGGGGGGGGGGGCACTGAATTGTGAGTGTTTTTAATGTCGTTTAAATACATTTCATTTCTTGTCCCTCTTCAACATTTCTGTAAAACGGACGTTTTATGTGTTTTTTGTTCCAGAGAGGATCTGACGAGCTTTTTTCCAACGCCTCGTATATCATGAGCTCCACAGGTCAGGAGTCGTCAAACGGTGTGGGTCAATGCTTTAAACCTTTGGGGTCAGGGGTCATCTCACGTACTGAAAACATCACTCAAACTTTGTCACGCATCCATTCAGACTTCTTAATTAATGTCAAATAAATGTTTGGATTCAGAAATATTTAAAGGGACCGTATCATGGAGCGTTTTACCTTGTGATGTTGTTGTTTCCTCATGAAAACAACAACAACAACCCAAATGCATTTTCCTGTTTTAGCTACAAGTTTAGAGTTTTACTTTGAAAATCCTGTAAAACCTTAATGGAAACTAGTCGGGTCCTCAGGCCCGGTTCTGTCCCAGAAGCTAGTCTCTGGTCTGCCAGCTCAGGACATGTGGCTTAGGCGACTCGTGTCATGTAACAGACTTGGTAGTTCAGTGGTTCGAGTGCAGGTCTAGCTTGTAGTTTAGGACAGGTTCACATCCCGGTCTGAGCTACACTTGCCAGTATGACGCTTTCGGCCCTCCGGTCTGGTTTGTTTGTTTAGCCGGTGTGAGTCTGTGAGCTGAGAGGAGTAAATCTGCTGGAAACGACCAAATTCAAACGAAATATTCTTCAGAAAATAACCAAACCTAAAATATAAAAAGTGAAATCTGCTTCAGCTGGCTAAATAAATCGCTGCCGACACCACCGGGACTCGAACCAGCGTCAGATCATAGCCAAACTGACGCCTGAACCACTGGACTACCAGTACAGCAGCTGACTCACCTAAGACGCTGTCGGAGCAGGCGTGGGCGGAGTTTCTCTGAAACAACGCGTTTTATTTCCAGGTGTAAACTGGGGCTGACCAAACCAACTCGTATTTAAGATAAACGACATCTCAACAGTTCCAACGGTGATATTTTAGCGAGCCTACCTTTGTTCTCGTAGGTTTAAAATAACATGATATGGAACCTTTAAAAATAAATAATATATAAAGAAATAATAAACTATTACATTTCTCTGCAACAACATTTTCTTTAAAGTCACCTAACACACATCCCTGCGGTACACCTCACTGCCCAAAATCGGGGTCTCGCAGCTGGTGTTGTTACATTATCCTCTTGAACTTGTTTTTTTTGTGACCTTTGTAGCCAATGGCAACGACAGCAAGAAGTTCAAAGGTGACATAAGGGGTCCCAGCCTGCCGTCACGGGTCATTCACATCCGCAAGCTTCCCAACGACATCACCGAGACCGAGGTGATTAGCCTCGGTCTGCCGTTCGGAGACATCACCAACCTGCTGCTGCTCAAAGCCAAAAACCAGGTACAGGCGACGTCCGGACTGGGCTGCTGCTCCTCGTGTTCTCCTGTAACCAGCTGCTGCTTCTCAGGCTTTCTTGGAGATGAATTCAGAAGAAGCTGCTCAGAACATGGTGGGCTATTACTCCACCATGATGCCCGTCATCAGACACCAACCGGTCTACGTTCAGTTCTCCAACCACAAGGAGCTAAAAACGGACAACTCCCCCAACCAGGAGGTATAACGCTCACTCATGCATATAAATAAAAAGTAGGATTACAATATTGGCGTGCTCTCCAACCCTGGTCCTCGAGGGCCACTTTCTGGCATGTTTTAGTTGTTTCTCTGCTTTAGCACACCTGGTTCGGTAAAGGAGTCATCTGTCCAGCAGGACATAAAACTCTGTTGAAGCATCTTATTCACCAACACACCCTAGATCAGGAGTGTTGGAGCAGAGAAACACGTAAAACATGCTGGAATGGGGATCTCGTAGACCAAAGCTGAAGAGCTCTTCGTTAGACCCTGTTAGCATCTAATGGCACCTGTTTGGTTACTTGGCTCCTGTTGACCTCCGTTAGCTCCTTTTAGCACCTGTTCACTCTTGGTTTTCTTTCAGAGGGCCCAGGCGGCCCTGCGGGCCCTCAGCTCTTCCCATGTGGACACGCCGGTGGCAGCTCCGAGCACGGTGCTGAGGGTGGTGGTGGAGAACCTGCTTTACCCAGTCACCTTGGATGCTCTCTGCCAGGTAACAGTGGCATCAAACCGCCACCTTGGGCTATGATCTCTGAGATTATCACGCAGATTAGCGCCAACCGAGTCAGATTACGAGTGATTGTTCACGTTCAACAGTAATATTGGAACAGCCCGGTTCATATTGTGTTGTGTGTTTCCCCTGTATCTGTCTACAACAAGCTGTACGGCAAGCCATTTCAATATTTATTCATGCAGCCACAACTACCCTGGGGTACACTGACAGAGGCGAGGCTGCCGAGCACAGGCACCACCGGTCCCTCTGACCACCACCAGCAGGCAATGGGGGTTAAGTGTCTTGCCCAAGGACACAACGGCGGCGACAGACTGAGCGGGGCTCAAACCTGACTAAAGTCGTCATTTGCATCCCAGCTATAAAGCCGATCTTCATCCGCATACGTCACACGTCACGTGATCAGGAAGCGGAACATCCATGTGTTAGGAGATCGTTTTGGGCCGCTGCTGCATGGTGGCGCAGTGGTTAGCACTGTTGCCTCGCAGCAAGAAGGTTGCAGGTTCGAAACTCGGCTGCGGCCTTTCTGCGTGGAGTTGTGTGTTCTCCCCATGCATGCGTGGGTTTCCTCCGGGTACTCCGGTTCCCCCCACAGATCACAACATGTCCTATAGGTTATAAACTGTACGTCGCTTTGGATAAAAGCGTCTGCTAAATAAATAAACATAAAAAAGCGAGGTGCGAACCGGAAAAGCTTCTGCCGATCACAATTCAACAACAGAGAACGGATAACGCTCGAAACGCGCGGATTCTTCCTGATGTAAGAGGTGAGTCTCCGCTTTGTTTTGCTTGTTTTGGCGTCGACATCATCCTGGCGCGCAGCGTTCGGTCACTCTTAAAAAAACAGTAAAAACGGTGAGAAACGCTGGCAGTGAATGAGTTAACATTCATGTACTCACACACCACACACACCACACACACACACACACACACACACCACACACACACACACACACCACACACACACCACACACACACACACACACCCCACACACACACACACTCACACACCACACACACACACACCACACACACACACACACACCACACACACACACACACACACACACACCCACCACACACACACCACACACACACACACACACACACACACACACACCCCTAAGGACAATGTAGACAGACCAATCAACCTAACAGTCATGTTTTTAGACTGTCGGAGGAAGCCGGAGAGAACTCTCACATGCACAGGGAGAACATGCAAACTCCATGCAGAAAGATCCCAGGCCGGGAATCGAACCCAGGACCTTCTTGCTGCAAGGCAACAGCTCTAACCACTGCACCACTGCGCAGCCACTGATCCAGGATCTGCTGTGTAAACTTTTTTTTACATCCGGGGTTCCCCCCATGATGCAGGGGCGGCGACAGCCAGCGCGGAGGAGGGGGGTGGGGTGTACCATCCCGAGCCGAGCCCAACTCCAGAGAGAGACACTTTCTAACATGTTCATGTTCAGATTTGTAATAATGAGCCAATTTTAAACTTGATAAAAATACTATATATATATATATGTGTGTGTGTGTGTGTGTGTATATATATATATATTTTTTTTTTGTTTGTTTGTTTTGTTTTAATTTTTAAAATGAAAACAAAAAACAACATTTTTTGGCCTTTTGTTAACTCGTCTGTTTTGAGTCTCTTCTTGAAAAGTTTGGACACCCCTGGGCTAAATACATCTTCCAGAAGTCAGGAAAAGAGGATGGGATGTTTTCCTTGAAGCCCAGAGACGAGGAGGGGACGCCAGTTTCGCTACTTTGACGCTCTGCTCATGTTTCCTCCTCAGATTTTCTCAAAGTTCGGCACCGTTCTCAGGATCATCATCTTCACCAAGAACAATCAGTTCCAGGCTCTGCTGCAGTATTCGGACGGCTCGTCGGCCCAGGCGTCCAAGCTGGTGAGGTGCCGTAGATGGCCTCCCCCCTCCCCAGACCGCCGCGCCGCGCGGTGCCACTAAATGCTTCTGATGCTGCTCGTCTTTCAGTCTCTGGACGGACAGAACATCTACAACGGCTGCTGCACGCTGAGGATCAGCTTCTCCAAACTCACCAGCCTCAATGTCAAATACAACAACGAGAAGAGCCGTGACTTCACCCGACCAGAACTGCCCTCTGGAGAGAGCCAGCCCGCCATGGAGCACCCGGCCATGGCCGCAGCCTTCAGTAAGACCCACCGCCTCCTCCTGACCCCTCCCCGACTCGTTCCGACCGTCTAAAACGCACCTGAGGTGTAAACGGACTCTTCTGATCTCTGCCCTGCAGCTCCAGGAATCATCTCTGCTGCGCCGTACGCTGGAGCAACGCACGCCTTCCCGCCAGCTTTCACCATCCAGCCAGCAGGTGAGTTCACCTGTGGCAGTGTCGCGTCCCGCAGCGTCCAATCAGAGACCGCCCAATAAGATTTAAAGTCTTTATCAGATTCCTGTATTTACGCTCTGAGTGTTCAGATGTTGCCGTACGCCCAGCTGACTGGTGCTGTCAGGTGTTTAGTAGATATCTGTAACTGTGGGTAAGTTTGGTCCTTCGTGGAGCTTGTATTGTGCTTTTCACTCATCTCACCTCTCTCAGTGTCCTCCCCTTACCCAGGCCTGACGGTCCCGGCTCTGCCCGGAGCGCTGGCCTCCTTGGCTCTCCCCACGGCCGCCCGGCTGGGCTTCCCCGTCATCCCAGCGGGACACTCGGTCCTGCTGATCAGCAACCTGAACCCCGAGGTGAGGAAGTATTTCTGTGTGGTTACAGATCACCAAACCTCGTTCAGTGGCATTTACGTCAGCTGCTTCTCACAGCCTCTAAACACTTCAGCATCCAGATGTTCTAAACATCTCCTATCAGGGATAAGTCCAGGAAAACGGGTCCAACAGACCCAAATCAGACGGGATAGACTCGGATTAAATCCAGACGGAGTTGGAGGCTGTATTGTGAATCTGATCACAAACAAAAATGGTAATCTAAGAATTTTCGACCGTCTTTAGAACATCGGGGTGCTGGAGTTCCCCGCCTTTATCTCCTAGTCGAGCCTAGTTTATGCTTCTGCGTCGGGACGGATGCACGCAACGCCATTATCCTTCCCGCTGGAGAGCCCTCACCAGGACGGACGAAAGCTGAAGTTGTACGTCTCCGTCAGCTCCACGAGGGAGAGACGCACCGACGGACGGAGACATTTACCCTCATTCTTCTCCGTCTCCTGGGGAGCGTTGCCAAGCAACTCCCCACCAGGACAGCAGAGGGCGTAGCGCTGTTCTGGTGCATCCGGTCCTAGATGGTGTGTTGTTTCGTATTTAAGAGACTTTTCAACACTCATTCTCCTCCACCTCTTCACGCGCTCGCCACCTCCTAACCCGCGTTTCCTGTTATTTCCGTCCACCGATCAAACGCTTTTCACTCCTCCAGTCCCGGGTGAATAACACATTCATGTTTTCAGAGTTTGTCCTCTACGTATTCTCCAAACTGCTCCGTGTCTGCCGCTAGAGACCCTGGGCTCTCTTTATGTTTGAGGGTGCTATGGCAGCGCTGT